TTTTCGGGAAAATTGTAACTTTGCGTGAATAGTTAAGGGGCTTAAACTAAACCAAATTGTCTGAAATTTTGTACAGTAATTAAAATCCCGACAAATGTTCCATCTGTTAACTCAAAATATGATTGCAGCTTTTAAATTTTGTGCGCGAGCCATTTTTATTTTGTTGGAAAAGACACACCCCCCTGGTTCACAAAATTTAAGTTCGAGAAATTTTTTTCATTATTTTACATTATAAGTACCCAAAGAAGCTACATATATAAAAAACCAGCTACAAATAGCTGTTTTGCGAAATTGAGAGCAATTTTAAATCTGTTCAGTTTTTTTTTATACACCCTGTATATGGTGGGCACAAATGGGCAAAGGTTGCTTCATGCTGCTACTTCGACAATGTATTTTTTGGGCACGACGCCCACCCCAACAGCATGTGAACCTTGGTCTAATTAGTGAAATAACCTTCGCAGGAGAGCTAATAGTTAAACATGTGATAACTGCGGGATATTCTCAAGTCACTTCACATCTTCCCATATAATCTCTTTGCTTGGCATGACCATTGATCGTGTTTTTTAAACCGTCTACCGATAAAAACATAATCATCATTGATGCTTTCAAATTTAAGCCATGGTTACAGTAATATTGGCAAAACTTACTGAACTTCAGACATCATTTTCTCTTTGGCAGTACCGATCTAAAATCTCTTCATTTCAGCATTATTACTTTGTAGATAAAACACCAAACACACTTTTTCAGTTTTTGAGAAACTTATCAGAAATTAAAATTTCCAAGAGGCATATATTATACTTGTTAGTTTTGAGTGCGTGTTATGTAATATCCTGAATCTTAACGAACTAAAAACTTCACATGAGATCTAATTGGTAAACATGCGACAAGTTGTTTTCAATCAATTTGACAGGCTTACAGCTAAGCATGGTGTTAACCTCAGATCATTATTAGTGAACCAACATTCGCGGGAGAGCTGGCTAAGTATATTGAAGAAACAGCGATCTAATTAATATATTAATTTAAAGTTAATCCACATGAGCATTTTCTCACAGTGGATGAACCTGTCTTGACCGCTGTGTGTGTGTGTGCGTGCGTGCGTGGTCAGTACGTGTCTATACGGTTAAATCTCTCCAACTTTGGTTTATAGTCTACAGAGGAAGTCATCATCCAATGGTTGTTCCTCTCAGAGATAGGAAGTACGTATGATCGTGCCAGGAAAAATATTTTGTCCGGACATATCCAAAAATTTTTTTTCAGATTTATACTTGTAAAATCACAGCTAAAAAGAGGGTCCTGAAGGGGGTGGGTGGGGGTGGTCGTATTCCCATTTCCCAACCCAAATTTGCACTAAATCCCATTGTCCCAGACGGCACAAATCCCATCATCTCAGTGGCTGTCCAGCTCAAATCTTAATCTCATTCCCATTCTCTATTGTTTTTTTTTGCTGATGGGCCCAGTCTCAGTGCATGAAATCCATTTTCCCACCCCCAAAATAAGCAAATCCCAGTTCCCATTTTACCCTTCAGGACCCTCTAAAAAAAACACATTTTTTGGACCAAATATCAGTAAAATTAAGGTTTAAAGGATTTTTCTCATACCATTAATATATGATCTTACGTAGAAAATTTTAACGTTCTAAACAATATTTTTTTAATTACACCTTTTGGGGCCCCCTTTTGCAAATTTTGGAGCCCCTTTAACTGAGGGCCTGGGGCAAATTGCCCCGTTTGCCCCCCCCCCCCCCTTCTGGGCGGCCATGTCTCCGACTCTCCCTCCTCATTCAATGTTGTTTTACCCCTGATCCAGGTACTATAGCACAGTTGAAAATGATTGTAATTTTATGCGCTCTCCTCCGTGGGGAAGCTTTTAAACTTTAAATTAAAAAGCAAGTGCAAGTTGAAAAGTCGATGGGATTGCGAAAAAAGGCAAAAAGCGCTATCTAGCGTCTCTGTTGAAACGAAAGTGTATGGTTTTTCTGGGTTTTCCCCAATGCAGTTGGACATGCATATGCATAAATTGCGCACTTTTCTGTATTGCGCGCGCACATCTACTCATGCATAGAACCTCATAAACAATAAATACTGTGCTTTTACTTTATTAAATTCACTGTTTCTCTTGGCCTGTGACCTGCATGCCAAGGTCGACCCGAATGTTTTCAAAAATCAGGTTGAGCCTGCACGCAGGCTACTCATCTTGCTGTCTATTTTGTGGGAAGGCACGTGAAAACCAAATTGAGGCACGTTTGAACATGTCATTACGTAAAGCGACAACAGCTCCATTAACGGATACTGAATGTCCAGGAATTCATTCAATATGTTGTCACTCAGCTGTATTTTGATAATTTCATAAGGGTCACTTAATAAAATACGCTTAAAATCCTTTTAACTTTGCGCGTGCGAGCCGAAACTATTCTACCTATTCTATCAATGTTTATTAAGTTTCTCCCGAGCTTGAATACCCTCCTGGGGTTGGGTCAAGATTAAGAATTAGGCATACTTTTAGTTCGATACAGAATAGACTACGAAGAAAGCTTGACTGTGTTCAGACACGTTCTGATTCCACTACGCCAGCAGAAATTAATATTGAATAGGGCAAGCTCAAACTAGGGCAAGTTTAGGGAAAGTTCAGGGCAAGTTTGGGGCACGTTCACTGCCTCCGATGCAGTATTATAATAGCGGCATATTTTTAATGACTTTCTAAATTCCACAGCAATGACGAGAAAACCGAAATAAACGTAAATTCAAAGTTAACATATACATGGAGATATTACATTTTTCGCTTGGGCATAAAATTTGCTTCTCCTTATACGCAATTTCAATAATGTGCGGCAATTCTTTTAAATTCATGCGCTAAGTGTTCCACTTCTACTTAAGTATTTTTCAAAATATTAACTTTGTTTCACCGCCTCTTGGCCTTGGAGTTAAGCTGCTTTACTTGTCTGGGCGCAAAGCCTTGGTAACAACACTTAGAGCTTTATAAAATTTGCGCAATTTATGCATGACATGCACGCGACTCGGCGACTGCGTTCGGGGAAAACCCAGATAAACCATGGACTTTCGTTTCAGCAAATAAATCTTAAAACATAGAGGCAAGCCAGTTGCATTAAATTCCTCAAAACCTTTCAACCAAACCTAATTCGCTTATTAATAGAACTTTCCGACTTCAAATCGGCCCGGACAAACAACGGTTCATGTTTTACTTTTGGTTTGCATTCAGGGCGTATTGATGAACTTGCACTTCCTTTTAAACACTTACATACGTCAGCATTTGGTTGTGAACTGTGAGTAAATACGGTAAGATTGTTATCAACGGCCTTATCAACGATACTATTATTTATACGTCGATTTGTTCGTGCAGTTTCCTTGCGATGATAAATGTTTGAGCAAAGTCTGTTCCCAGTTAAGTCCTCTTAACTTGTCATCAATGCGCGCGAATCATATCACATTAGCATTTTATGCGCGCGATATCTCATTAACATTTTGTGCGCGATTAATATCTCTTACCTTGCCAGCAATCCGGGTGGTCTTAGGATATCCTTTGGTCTGAATCTTCATGACGTTCTAGCACGATACGCGCTACACCATTCACTCGCAGTAATTGAAAGTTAAAAGCCGCACTTACCAAAAGCGCCGTGTGACAAGTTGGCAAGGAATGCATGTTTACCCCGCGAGTAATTTGCCAAAATTTGCCAAGCATGCAGAAATTGCTTCATCAACAAATGACGGAATTGCTTTATAAACGCATGATGCAAGTTTGGTGTTAAGAGGTCATGAATCGTGGTTCGTGGATGATGGAAACATACATCGCTCACACTCAAAGAGTGAAGGTTCAATCTGAGGTTCAATCTGAGTTTCCCTTGAGTGTCAATGCTGTTTTTGAATAGCTAGAAGGTGAGTAGTCACATAGTAAGGTGCGACACTAACCATCCAGCTATTCAAAAACAGCAATGACTATTGACACTCAAGGGAAGCTCAGATTGAACCTCCACTCTTTGAGCGTGCTTTTAGAATACGAGTGTTAGACTTTTATTTAAACACGGTAGCATATAACTATCACATAGTTCCCACGAGGGGCGTGTACACGAATGCAAATTTACAATACAAAACATGCTGCGAACATTTATAAAACTTATATTATTTATTTTCTACATCTTTGCAAAATGATCCGACTATCATCAATCACTATCATCATCATCATCATCATCGTGATTATATTGTCCACCAGAACGTAATGATGACGTCATGACGTCTTTAATTTGTCTTCGTTTTCTGGGGTCTTCTTCCAGGGTCGTTTTTATCGCTCTGCTTTCAGATAGCATCCATTCTAAATCTACGAGGAACAAGGGCAATGAAATAAAAATATTGTAAATGATAAAAACGTTTCTAAGTAACGTACATTTAAAAGTTTCAGTTAGCTTAGCAATTAAGAGACAATTGTTTTCAATGTCGGCGTTTGTCTCGTATTGTCACGTATTTGCGATGAAAAGTGTTCAAAACCTAAAATCTTTTTGGAGTTCCTCTCAAAATTACTTTGTTTTAGCTTTATTTTGTAGTTTATACAATTAGCAACCTTTTCAAATGTATCTGGCGGTTGAGAAACACAAAATAATTGTTAAATATTGTCAATTTAAATACAATTATCATTGATGCTGTAAAATTGACGCCATATTTATACAGCAATATAAGCAAAAGTTACTGAACTTCAGACATCATTTTTTCTTTGGCGTATCATCTAAAATCTCTTCATTTTAGCATTATTTTACAGATAAAGCATACTTTTACAGGTAAACATACTTTTTAAGCTTGATTGCCTCTGGAGAAACGTATCAAAAATTAAAAAGTTGAAAAAAGTCATAACCAAGAGGAAAAGCATCATCACTAGTTTTGAGCGCGTGTTACCGTAACAAACAAAAGATTTTCCACTTAAATCTCAAAGTCATTAACAATTCACGAGTAAATTAGCCAACCATATTGCTTTATTTTGTTCACATGATAATCAAGCGTGGGTTGACTACAAACTTTTTGTAGTTCGCTATGACTACAGCTACTTCAAAAATATGTAGTCAGCTACAACTACTGCTACTTTTGAACAAAGGTAGTTCGCTACTGACTACAGCTACTGCTTAAAAAATGTAGCGACTACACTTTCGCTATTTCGCTACGCTATATTTTTTAGTTTCACTGTATTTGGAGCATCTATACTAACTCAGACTGTAATGTAACCTCTAACAAATCGACTTACGAGTAGCAACAGTAAACACAAAGCAACATTTTTGTAATCACTATACAGTGTGCAGGAGTGCAAATTGACTATCGAGTATCGATTTTAGGCAAATCGTGCCTCAATATCATGTTATTCTATCAAGTTGTTAACAATTTTTAAAAGTAGCGAATAGCGATTTGCTGTTTGAAAAGTAGTCAACTACTTGGCTACTTTTAGGCAAAATGTAGTTCGCTATAACTACAGCTACTGTTTTAAAAATGTAGTCAAAAACTACTGCCTACTTGAAAATTGTAGTTCGCTACAGTAGCGAACTACAGCTACTTCGCTACTACCCACCCTTGATGATAATACTGGATATCTGATGAAGTACATTGATCCTGTCCTAGGACTGGATCAAACTTAATTCAGTCCTTGGCCTGGATCAAAATGAATTAAGTGGTGACTTATTCGTCTGAGATGTCATTTCAAATCCGACTATGAGGAGACTGGATTAGATTTTAAGTCCTCGCATTTCGATCTAATTGCCTTGACATCTAGTCCAGTCCTCATAGTCGGTTTTTCCATACCTTCAAGAGAACAGTTCATTCCATCAAACGCAATCGGTCCTATGTGTTGTTTCGACATCTGACCATTACGATAGATAAATATCGTAGGTAGGTTCTTATCGGGATAGTTAGGGATACAGGTAGTTGATATACTCTTCAGGAATTTAGTCGTTGGGAATTTTTGAGCTAACTGTTGGAGGTGACGGTTTAGTAAGGCACACAGTGGGATTCTGGCAAGAATAATAGAATCAACCTTTTGGTTATTTTTACTCATACTGTTAAAGACAGAAGAGTTTATAAATATTCCTCTGAATTTTATAATATGTAATAATTACTTCAATAACTACATACTGAATCTAAACAGCATTAAATGCTTATATCTATAATTTATGTGGTTGTTTCATAAGAATGATTTAAATGGATTTAAGCATTTTGTGTGTGTATACATATGTAATGAGAATGTGATCCCATTTCATTCCATTCTTTTCCATTTATTTCCTTCAATTCCACTTCATTTAGTTTCATTTCATACCATACCATTTCATACCATACCACACCATTCCATTATACCATAATATACCATACCACACCACCACACCATACCATACCACTTCATACCATATAACACCACACCATACCATGTACCATACCACACCACTTCATTCCATACCATACCATACCATACTGTTTGACTACCATACCATACCATACCACTTCATTCCATTATACCATAATATACTATACCATATCATATATCACACCACACAATACAATACACCATACCATGAACCATATCACACCACACCATACCATACCATTCCATATACCATATCATACCACACCACACCACACCATACCATATAATACCACACCACCACACCATACCATACCACTTCATAATACCACACCACCACACCATACCATACCACTTCATACCATATAATACCACACCACAACACCATACCATGTACCATACCATACCATTTGACCACCATACCATACCACACCATACCATACCATACCACACCACTTCATTCCATTATACCATAATATACTATATCACACCACCACACCACACCATACAATACACCATACCATGTACCATATCACACCACACCACACCATACCATACCACACCATTCATTTCTATTAAAACGTACCCAGTTTTATAAAGATGCAGTATAACCCAAATTCCCTCCCCAGCCTTATTTACTTCCTGAACATAATCCACAGCTGTAATCTCCATCATCTCACCAAATTTTGCTACTTGTTGATATTGTTTCATTTCTGCCAGCCGTTGTTTTCTAATAAACATACAAACAGTTAAAAAGTACTGCATGCAAGTTGTGTTGTGAACATATATTACACGCAAACAATTTTCAGTGTGCACGGAAACTCAGACCCCTTAACCATTCAATAGACCTTTCCCCTTTTGAGTGAAATTTTGATCTAGACAAAAATTTCATCACAGCTTGAAAGAGCATCACAAAATTAGTAATATTCCAAAGTTTTGTTGCGAAATGTTGTAAAATGCGGATAATATAGCCTTGCGAAGTTTGCCATTTTCAGTCATTTTGTATTACAACCATTTGTAATAAAATTGATAATCAGTTTGATCATGTGCGTAATACAAAATGACTGAAAAACGGTGGGTGATAAATACCAAATGTTGAACTTTTTTAGAGCCGCCCCAATCGCAAGACCTTTATTTTCAAGACGCCCCCCCCTCCAAACATTTAATTTGTTAAATTTTTTGGTGTAAAATAGGTAATGGGACAAATACTGGTGTAAGACATTGTGCAGCCTAAATAATTAGAGGACCAGAATTCAAAATGGTTGTTATTTGTAAACTCCAATTCCTATGGTGAACTGCATATACATAATAAACTATGGAAACTATGATGCATTATAGGAACTAAACAAGGTAAAAGTATTTTGTGGGATACGATAAAGGCGAGAGATTGAAAATGAGTAGGAAAGTATTAAAAAAATGGCCAATAGACCTTATGCATAATGACGTCACAAGGCTTGATGCCCGCAAGGAATGCTGGTCCTAGTAGTCATTGGCATGGGCGTACCGGAAGGAAAAAATTAGGGGGGCGGAAAGAAAATTGCCCGACTTTTCGGGATTTTGCCCGACTACCATTTTAGGGGTCAAAAAAATTTTCCGGACAACCAAAATTTTTCGGAACATACACAAAATTTTCGGAAAATCGCAAAATTTGCCCAGAAATTGACTTAATTTTAGAAAAAATTTACAGAATTTGTCACATTTTTTTTTATTGCAAGCCAAAATTGCCCGACTGTTGATCGAATATTGCCCAACTGCCCAAAAAACTGGGGGGGCTGCCGCCCCCCCCCCCGCCCGGTACGCCTATGGTCATTGGCAGTGAAAATTTTGATAGTGGCCATTTTGAATTGTTTAATTTTCCCGGGCAATGACTATTAAGACCTATGCCCGCATTCCTAGCAGGCTTGTGACGTCATTATGCATGAGGTCTATTGGGGTTGCCTTTTGTCACATATTTTTTCAGTTTGAGGCCACCCCCAATTCACGCAAGAATAGTTGAAGCCGCCCCCTTTTCTCAACCACCGCCCCCCCCCTCCCCCTCCCATTATTAATGACCGGTCCCATAGGATCTGGTGTCCACTTCCCAATAATATTTAAAATTCATTCTGGTATGATCGATTTGACAGATGGTGTGCTTTAAAAGATTACTATTCAGTACATTAACACTATAGTATTTTGTACTTCCTTGTCAAAAATGACAATTTGTCATTCTAATATACAAATTATACCACACATGTTACTCAAACTTCACCTATATTCTTCAAGTACCCTCTCATCTTCTTCATCTTCGAATTCATCTAGTTCATCTAAAGTCATATCTTCATAATTTTTAACAACTTTCTCGCCCGTTCTTTTTGAGACCGTATCCTCAAGTAAGTTCACGATTTGATCTTCTGAAATTTCGAGTTCTTTTTGTTTTGGCGGCAAAATTCCTTTAGCCCGTAACACGTCGTTCCATTCTGTATCTTCGTTAGGGTCTTGCATGTTGTAAAAAGTTTGAAAACTGTTTAAAAATGTGATTTATGATCTTGAAAAATTAAAAATATTGACTTTCTACTCCACCTTTTATTTTGATTGTGGTGGTTAATAATACTTACATCAAGTTTTGGAACTGGTTTTGTTCCGCTGGTTCAAATGACTGAAGACGAGATTAAATAACACTGATCTATATTTTAACACTGGATATATTCTACCAGTTTTAGTAACACTGGAGTAATAAGGGTTCCCTTACTGGACCTCTAGGGAGAACAGTTTAGAACTGATAGAGCTATCCAGTATAAATAAAGTTCGTTTAGTTTAGGTTTCCTCCTGTAGTGACACTGGATCAATAAGAGATGATCCTTACTGGACCTCTAGGAAGAACAGTTTAGAAATGATATCGTTTAGTTTAGGATTCCTCCTGTAGGGACACTGGATCAATAAGAGATGATCCTTACTGGACCTCTAGGAAGAACAGTTTAGAAATGATAGAGCTATCCAGTATAAATAAAGTTCGTTTAGTTCAGGTTTCCTCCTGTAGTAACACTGGATCAATAAGAGATGGTTCTTACTGGACTTCTAGGGAGAACAGTTTAGAACTGATAGAGCTATCCAGTATATATAAAGTTAGTTTAGTTTAGGTTTCCTCCTGTAGTGACACTGGATCATAAGGGACGATTCTTACTGGACCTCTAGGTATTAAAGCTTCAACAAAGAAAAAAATCCTCTCAAGAACTACAAATGTGTTTTATTTCAATTTAATTTACTAAAATCGTTCATGCTGGCGGTCTTCATAAAGACAGCGGATCTTGGCTACTGGGTTGTGCTACCATAACAACTTGATCAAACCTTCTCAATTTCATTGCAAATACCTAATTCTTTGTTCTAAAAAACAATAAATGAAAACTATTAGATTGAACATAAAACCTATTGTGTCATACATGTGTTTTAACAAAATATAAAGTCTTACCTCTGAGCGGCTAAACTAGCGAGTAGCGAGTTCCCAGCGAGGAACGTTACTGATCCGACCAAACCTAACAGCTTCAAAGTGCTAAACATATTCTGAAAAGAGAAGAACAACATATTATATCACCAATCATACCACAGACAGTTGGTCATGGTTAATTTTGTGTCATCTATGGTGTATCTTACCAAACACGTCCAGAAGGCGTACATGAGAAGAAATATTCCTACAAAGAACAGAACAACTATTTGGTTATAACAGAAACATCTTCCTAAGCTCAGTAAACTGCTCCAATCGATTCATATCCGTAATCAATTTATCGTTATTAACAATCGATCAATATCGATTGATTGATTAGGGACGGACCACTCACAGTGATTTAGGGACGGACCGATTTTTTTCAGCTTGCACCAATTTTTTTTGGTACATCTGCTTGTGCTGGAATTTTAAAGGTATTTCTCTTTGCTCTTCCTTTTTGAACGAACTACCCTCCCCATCACATCACGTTTCTAACAATGGTTCGCCCCTAATGTCGCTTCCAACAAAAGGTATATTTTAAGAATTTAATTAAAGTTTCTATTTGACAGCCAATGGGAAAGAATGGCAGAAAAATTTTAAAAAAGCCGCGTTTGTCATATGATCATATCGACAATACCACCTCCTCGTAATTTAAGTTTTTTGATTGGAAAAGAAAGGTATCCAGGCGTCATGCCATACACGGCTGTTTTGTTGATCAATTATAAAGAATCCCATAATTTCGACTGCGCATGCGTACGAAATAGTGCACCGTAATAAATAGATCGGTATTTGAGATTTAAATAGAGTGTGAAATGAAACTTTCGTCACTAACCACTGTGCCCCCAATTCTTAGCTAGCTTAGATAGGGTGTTTGGTAGAGTCAAACTGGAAGCACTCTAATTCTAATGAATTAGGATTTTTTGACAGCCTGGCCTGATTAGGCTGGGCTACTTACTCGATAAAAAGAAATTTTTCACTCAGCGTCTCAACCTCTATGATCTCAACCTTCCCTTTTTATCAGGCCAGGCCGCTGAAAAAGTGGCCGACTCTACCAAACACCCCATCTGAAGGTACGTTCAAAAACTCATTAATAATTCATGAGGAAAACACAAAGAAAAATCATAAGCGTAAAAAATTGCAAGTATGAAGTACTATGAATTTTTTCTGTGTTGGTGTAGTGTACTCAGGTGAATATGATATTTGTGGTGTTACTCTGAGTGTATATCCACACCGGGCGAGCTTGAAAAATATGCCCGGCCACGGTGGGATTCGAACCTACGACCTTTGGAATACTAGCCCAATGCTCTTCCAACTGAGCTACGCGGTCAGGACGGTTCGAGTAAGTGATATTTCGGAACAGAATCTAGTTCCTTCGATATGAAGTACTATTTAAAACATTCGCAGTGCGTGTTTTGTCAGATCTAAAGATACTCGGCTTCGCCTCGTATCTTTGTACCTGATAAAACACTGTTGCTCATGTTTTAAATAGTACTTTATACTTGCAATTTTTGCTGCGATTTTCTTGAAATTCTTCTTCTGATGGGATGTAAACGATTATGAATGTCCAGAGAGGGAACATATACTGTACTCAAGATATTCATAACTCATCTACTTGTTCACATTCATCAGAAGAAAATCGTGCTAGAAATCGCAGCAAACATTGCAAGTGTAAACGGCCCTTAAGCTGGCTAAGAATAGGGGGCACAGCGAGAAAGATAGATTGTATAAACATACCTCCCAGGCCCACATGGAAAACAATGGCGGGAATAGAGAATTGGAAATTGGATAAGTTAACACCAAGCTTCAGCCACTAGAAGAATACGAAATAATCACATTTACAACAGGTTCAAATTTATTTTAAATGCACCATGAAGACAGTTTAGATGTCAGTATAGAGCTTTCCAGTATTAATAGTTTAGTTCAGGTTTCCTCCTTTAGTAACACTGGACCCTTACTGGACCTCTAGGAAGAACAGTTTAGAACTGATAGTGATAGAGTTATCCAGTATAAATAAAGTTAGTTTAGTTTAGGTTTTCTCCTGTAGTAACACTGGGTCAATAAGAGATGATCCTTACTGGACCTCTAGGGAGAACAGTTTAGAACTGATAGAGCTATCCAGTATAAATAACGTTAGTTTAGTTTAGGTTTCCTCCTGTAGTAACACTTGATCAATAAGAGATGACACTTACTGGACCTCTAGGGAGAACAGTTTAGAACTGATAGAACAATCAAGTATAAATGAAGTTAGTTTAGTTTAGGTTTCCTCCTGTAGTAACACTGGATCAATAAGAGATGATCCTTACTGGACCTCTAGGAGATTAGGAAGAACAGTTTCGACCTGATAGAGCTATCCAATATACTGTAAATAAAGTTAGTTTACTTACTGCAACAAAGAGAATGAGAAGCGGCAACAAAGCAAGAATAGTAAAGGCAGTGGATACAGTCTTTGGAGGTCGCTTCTCAGGTTGGCGGAACATATGCTAGAAGCAGCAGTAACATTGAATTAGTAAAATATTTTGGAGAGGGGGCAACCCGTCAACAATGAAACAATTATTGACCGTTCAATAATAAAACCAGAAATGGGGTGCGAGCTGCTCGCGTCAACGAGCAAGTTCAAAGCAAAGTTCTTTCAAGAGTTTCAGCATGTCAGCCGGTTGGTTTTATTACAGTTTCGGAATACCAGGAGAATTATTGAGACTTTGACACTTGCTATGTGATAAAACACTGAATCCTATTGAGTCCTCTGGAAAACAGCGTGTTTTGTGGCCCCGAGACCGCCGCACAAAACACACTGTTTCCCTCGGTCTCAGTAAATAAGTGATAATTAAGTTTAGGGCACAATACAATACAATACAATACAATACAATACAATACATAATTTATTTTATTGTAATCTCTCATTAGTCAAGTCATTCTATATATTGAGAAAGCTTGGTGGAGGAGTGATAATTAATCTGGCATCTTTTGAATGTTAAGTAAATTGATAGTTCACCTAACACGAGCTCATATTATAAGATGCGATAGTCAGAAGGTATTTACAGATATTAGCTAACACATGTATGTTTATACATGCTGGCAACCAATTCACATTGCTGGATAGCAAGGACTTTACCTCGATTTCTGGTTTGCGCTTGAATTGACCTCCTTTTTCTTGCTGTTTGTCTTCAGCGGGACTTCCGGCGAAGCTCAGTTTAATAGAACCCTGATGTGGAAGAAAATAGTAACAATGGATCAATAAGAGACGATCCTTACTGGACTTCTAGGGAGAACAATTTAACTGATGGAGCTACCCAGTATGTATACTGTAAATAAAGTTTAGTTTAGGTTTCCTCCTGTAGTAACACTGGATCAACAAGAGATGATCCTTACTGGAACTGATAGAGCTATCCAGTATAAATAAAGTAAGGTTAGTTTTCGTACAAAGATGATAATATGATAATTAATGTATGATAATTATGATAATTAATGCAGTGTTGGTGTTTTTATACTTAAATGTAATCTCTCATTAGTCAAGTCATTCTATATATTGAGAAAGCTTGGTGGAGGAGAGATAGTTAATCTGGCATCTTTTCAAATGTGAAGTACACTGATAGTTACTTAACATGAGCTCATGTTGGAAGATGCACCATGTATTGCGTACCACATAATTACAACGTAAGGGGGAAGGGTGCAACCAATCTCGAAGTTGCGTTGCTTCTATAAGAAATGTTTTGAACCGTAGATCTTAATTGTCTTCATACTAATTGCACTGATTTGCCGAATAAATAAATATGATGCTTTCCGCAAACATGCAACGATCTCCAAACGCAAAACTTACGATAGTCCACAGGAGAGAATTTTCAATAGCAGCATCACCAATGAGAAGATCCTATAAAGATGCACTATTAGATCCAATCATTATAAATACAGCTAGGATATAACGCACAAGAATGATCGTTAGACAGGCAGACAGACAGATAACAAAACTATCATGGTCGGATTTTGAGGTAAGATATGGGGGGGGGGGGGGGGGTGCGCACCTCCCCTGCGATCTTTTTGCACCTCCCCTGAGAATTTTTGCACCTCCCCTGAAAAGTCATGCACCTCCCTCGGGAAAGTTTCAATGATAGATCAAAGTGAAAATTTGACATTTTTTGGTTGCTAAGGTCTACTAAAGTTTTTCTGTAAAATTGAAACAGTGATAGCCATTCATCCCTGTGTCAAGTACCCTCTTTTAATACAATGTTTTGAAAGAAACTTTGTGTTAATTGTATAATGAAGAGCAAAACTGGATGAGTTGTACAGTCATAATTCATTAATACACTGATATACATATGTTCACTACATGCATACGTTACGTCGTTGACTTTGGCCCATTCTAAGCCCTAACTTTCCATGGGGGTCGTGAGCTAGTCCGCTACACCTTCCCTAAATTATTTTCCAGCCCCCCCCCCCCCGATTTCCACCAAAATCCGGCCTTGAAAACTATATGGTACCAAAATCATAGAATGGAATT